CTGTACAGATTTTGAGCCAGCAGAGAGTTCATCCTGTGCAATATGTCACGATAGTCCATTATTTATACGTTTATGACTATTTAATACACAGTAGGCCATTCGTAAGTGCATTATTATACCAGGGATGTATACTGAAAAGTCAGGGAGATAGATAACTTATGAGATGACAGAAGAAACTGCTCCTGTGCAGTTATACCACTGTCACTTTAGTTTTTAACTGTAATTTAAACTATTTTTGGCTGTGTACAGACATTCTGAAGAGCATTTCTGGCTTGTTTTCCTCCATGCTTACTCGCTGCAAATTTGCAAAGAGTTTAAAACTAAATGGATGACAATCACACCAAAATGAATTTGGTTACTGATGCATGTGTGATTCTTTGGACTGCTTTTTGTTTTACACTGTGGGCCAGCAAGATGTAATTTCAGGCAACAAATATTGCCCATACAAAACAGTGGAGACTGCTTAGGTCCTACTGCAGTTAAACGACATTACAAGGAGTTTATTTAGACAGAAGCATGAAACGGAGAGGGAACAAAACCTGAATGCACAATTTGAATATTGTACTAGCTGATCTTTGCATATAGTAATATAGAAAAGAGTGTTCTGTTTGAGATGGTAGATGTTAAAATACTCTCTTCTTAGAAAAAAGAGTATATTTTTTGATGTTTGGGAAAGTATTTTGACAATTGTAGTCTTATCTCAAATTAGATTTTTCAGGTGTCAAGAATCTCAGAAAGAAAAATCTTGTTTTCTTGTAGCATTTTGATTTCTCGTAGGGGTTTTGCGTTAAATAATGTCATGATGATAAGGCTTATTGGGGGGAAAAAAGAAAAAAAAAATGTTCCTTTTAAATTTTTGAGATGTTAAGAATACAAAACAATTGCTGCTTCACTTTCACTCCATTGCTGCTCATTAATGTGTATTTAACGTCACTTCAGTGTTTTGTCCCAGAAGAACATTAGACTTGATCTGTCTGAAGTGCATGCAAGTCTTTTCCTTGCCATCACTGTGAGCTGCATCAGATCCCAACAGTTTAATTAGGGTATAGGAGGCAAATAGCAGTTCCTAGATTTTCCCTTCTCTTCCCAATTAAGGAACAAAGCTGGAAATCCAGCAAGAATGAGTTGGTCAACCAGTATTTTCATAAACTGCAGCTTAAGGGTTGAGCTAGAAAAATACAAGAATCAAAGTGCAGCGGCTGGCGGGATGACACTTGGCACCAGAAGGTCAAAACCAGGGCACTCGAAAAAATTCAGGTTTGGTCAAAAATTTGTCCTTATCACTAGACTTTATATCTCCCTCTGCTCAAGTGGATGGGAGGGGGCTGCAGGATGCCCCAAGGCTTGAGCTCTGCCTGGGGATACCTTTCTAGTTTAATGCAGGTCTAAAAGTTTCGCGCATTTCCCTGACGTTTAGTGCAGTGGCAGCTACAGCCAAACACTTAAATCCTCTTGAGCGCGGAGCCGTCAGTGTAAATTGAGACTGTATAGTCAAATCAACAGAGCTTTGCTTGTTTATACAAACTGAGGGTCCAGGCCATAACTCCAGAAAAAAAAAAAAAGTATTTCCCTTTTCACGCAGTCTGAACGGTTTCAGAAAGAAGTCAGCTGGTGGTAGGAGCCTCCTTCTCCTCCGGTCTTAGCTTCTAGCGTCAACGTTCTTATGAAAGTGCTAGTTTACATCACCAAACAAGTGGTTGTTCACAAAGAATTCCGCAGGAATTATCTTTAGTGAAGGCAACACAAGTACCTCTGCAAAGCAAAGGGCGTGGAAGGGAGGCTAGAGTGCTGTTTCCCAGCCTATTATTTTGTGTCCGCGGCGCTGAGCCCCCCCGGGAGCACTCTCTCGGGGACGTGGGTACTGTCAGCTTTGACTGCGCCCTAACTGCGGCCGTTGGGAAAAAGGTGAGGGGACGGGGCTGCGTACAGCACCGGGACGGGCTCAGCCTCCCCGCTTCGCGCCCGCGTACGGCACGGAAGAAGCTGATGCTTCTGCCCCTGGGTCGCGGGGGTCCTCGCAAAGGCCCGACCCAGAGCCCAGGGAAACGAGGAGGAGGATTTCACGTTACCTCCTCAGGCTTGGGACGAGGCTGCGCAAAGCCTGGTCCGACCCCAGGCTGCTCCCCCCGACCGCCACGGACTTAACGAGGAATTCGGAGCACCCGTGTCTGTGCGGGGCTGAGCCCTCCCGGTCCCCATTTAAGAAATGCTTGCGGACGTAGGGTGAGATTTAGTGTCCGATTATATTCGTGTTCATTTCACAGAGAGGGACGCTAGACCACCGAGTTGGGCTGTAGTCCACTAACCCTCATCTAAACCCAGAGCTGCAAACCAGTTTGTGATGCTTCACAACTTAAAATGGATTGAAAGTCCGTATGAAAACTGCTGTTTAGAAAGGAAGGTTTAATAGGTTTGGTTTGTTTTTTAAAAAGAGCCTAAGCATAGAGGAAATTATTTGAACTTTATGAAACGGTGGGGGTAGCAGACATGCTTAAAACAGTGAATGAATGAACAGAACGAAAAAATTAAGCAGTAAGTGTGATTGGTTCCATACGCTCTGAATCACTACTTACTTCTCACCATTTCCACAAATACTTGTTCCCTGGGGAATATTCATGAACCATCCATGCTGCGTAACAGAAAATACACAGCCAGTTCCTTTCTATTACTTCCCATTAAAATGTATTTTCTGAAGTTTCGCTCTGTGGACATCTCTTAAAACTTGATGTTATCAATGAATACTTTTTTTAAACTTTATTTTAAACCTGTTGTATCGTTCTGTTTATTATGTTTTTTTAGTGTGAGCAGATTGTATTTATTTGAGAAAAAAATGTTTGCTGTTTAAAAAACCCAATAATTGTATTGCCAAAAATAGCTGTAATTACCTGTGACATCTGTATTTTTTTATTTGGGGGGGGTTGGTTGGTTGTTTTTAAGCTCACTTTCAAGTGCTAACAACTGTTAAAACAACCACTGCATTTTAATTTGCTTATGACATTAAATGGATTTCTCGGAAGTGGGACAAAAATGTCTTGTAGATGATTTAATAAAGATGCCACGCACCCACAGCTCGTCCTTCCCATTTAAATTTTCCTCTCAAGCGTGTTGGACTTTGCCGGCGTGAATATTCTGACACAGACCTCCAATGAAGTGCCCCCCAAGGGCCCATGCGTTGCTGGGGTGCACCTGAGCAATGTTCTCAGTGGCTCCAGCAAGACGTAGGTAGGAAAAATGCCTGTACCGGGTGCATGCCGGGCCCCGTACTGGGACCTTGAAACAAAAAGGGAGTCAGGGCTGGTCCTCAGTTTGGGTTGCAACGCCGCCCTCACCACCTCCCATTTCAGGATGCCCACCCGGATGGGGTGTAAGCCTCAGAAGCATCAAGGAGAAAAGGGAATTTGAGCTACATTTTTCTTCCTTCCACTCAAGATGAAGTTCATTTATTTGACAGCAGATGGCACAAAACCATCTCAAGTCTGGTTTTCCATCTCCCGCAGAGGGACGGAGTTTTCCCTCTGGGTTGGAGGCAGGTAGCCTCAGCCTCCCTACTACTCGATGGCTTTTTTCCCCCGGAGTTACTTTACTGTCAGATTTAGACGCGTGGAACTGGAAGCACAACTTTTAAACCAAAGCAATGCTTACCTTTACAACACATATCTTCTTTCTTGATCTGGATTTTTTAATCCAGCAACACTTTAGCAGCCAGTGAGACTCCTTCCTTTCAAACCAACTAGCTACACTAAACTTCATGGTCTACAGCTCTGTTTTCCAGTAAAACTGACTATATTACGATTAACATAAAAGCCATGGCTTTTATCAATCAAATATATGCTAATAGAATGATGCACTTCCATGCACCTGGAAGTTTCATGGAAACAGGTCCTAATAAATTAGAAGTGAAATGCATAATGTGTTTTGAATGAACCATTTTGTCCAGTTCACTCAAACCCATGTCCTGCAAATGCACATGGTTTTTAAACCATATTTCTTATCTTATTAAAGTTAGCTCCTTTTGGCAGTATCAGTCATTTGCACTAAATGCCGGGCAGTTGCAGAGAAGTGCCAGAGGAGGATCTGGCAAAGCCTTTTTGGAAATCGGCACACGTGGCTACATCATGAGAAGCGGCGCTGCCTACAAGCGGGCTTGGATAAATCTTGTGACGTTACTGGACATCACACACCAGGAGACACAAAAAGCTTTGTTATGCCCCAAATTGCTCCTGAAATAATCAGACCTGCAAGGGGACACGGGAAACCCAGATTCTGCCATTGGTCCTGTGGGACCTCCTGGCTGTAGTCATCCCTCCGCCCCGTGGTTCAGCGCCCAGCGAACCTTTCACAACAGCCTCACCACTGCTCTTCATTCCCCAGAGAGCCGCAAACCACACGCAGCAAATTACCTTTCTCTCGTTATTTGTTTTGCCAGGATCCCGGCAAGCAGAGCAAATCAAGCCCCCATACCTGCAGTGGTACAAGGTGCAGAGTGACGCAAGACTGTTTTCCCAGGGATTTAAACCGCACAGCTGGGTTTTCAGGCAACCTTGCAATTACTGCACTACAGAGCACAAATAAGCTCTGCCTTCCGGGGTGCCTCCCCATCTCGGGGGATTTAATCCTCCAGAGTGCAGGATTACCCCAAGGTCCACGTTTCTCTTAACCTTTACCTGCTTCCCCCTCTATATACATCTCCCCCGCACGGACGCTGAGCGGGATGGAGCTGGAGGGGGTGCGAGGTGAAGTGCCCCCAGTCCTGTCGCCCACCGGTTTCGTTTTAGGTGACCTGTGAGGTCACCGATTTCTCAGCAGTCGCCAACACATAGGAAACGTGGGACGGGGGGAGAAGAGAGCGGGACAGCAGAGAGAAGGGAAGGAGGCAGAGCCCCGGGCAGGGATGAAGTCACGGTAAACCTGCTCCCCGCCGTGCCAAAAGGGGACCGGCTGCACAGCAGCCCCGGCAGAGAGGGGAAGTCGGCACAGACCGCCCGTGCCCACACCGCGACATGGCTTTCACCAGGGTGCTACACGTCGCGGCTCTGTTCCTGATGCAAGGTAAGCGCTACGCGTTGTACATCTCCCCTTTGCAAGCAGTCCAGCCCGGAGAGCTCCATTGCCAGAGCTTCAGCACACCAAGAGCGAGGCAGCTTTGCTGTTGTTTTCTTGTTGACAATGCCGTACTGTCACCCAGCTTCCAGCTGACTCCCAAACCCAGCATCAGTGAGACCAATTCACCTCCTAGCAGCACGCTCGAGATGGCAAAGCATTGGCAAATCAAAAGGTTCTCCCTTAAATTTGGACAGTGGATCACTGCTTACTCTCCACGGCTTGGGTATCTGTGTACGCCTTTGTTCATGTATTGTGTAAAAAGAGGCTAATATAGGAAGTCAGGGTAATTTAGAAAGTTCTTGCAAAGTACTTTGAAAATGAAAAGCTCTTCAAACGCTCAATCTCCTTACTCCTACTAGAGGATGTAGCTTGTACCTACTTTGCTAATCTCTCTTTCATACACAGGAGAGTGTGAAAGATTCCTATTTGACCATGTCAAACAGGGAAAGATTTACGTAAGGAAAGCAGCAAAACAGCTATCTACAGCTCAGCATTCTTGCAGGCTTCACTCCTGACCTTGGCAGGAGGAATGCACGCGCGAGCCTGGCCGAAGTAATCATCCCTCTCCCTTCTTCACAAACGCTGCAGCAAAAACCCCGGCGGTGCTACTGCTAACACTCGGGAATACTCGCACACACAAAGGTATTGTTAACGGCGGCCACATCAAATCTCGGTGCCTAAACAGCGACAAAACATTCTGTAACGGGTGTAGTATTCTTTGGATATTTTATTACCTTTGATTGCATTTAATATAAGCCAGGCTTTAAGGAGCGGCCAGTCACAGCCTAGCTGAACTAGCACTTGCAGCGCCCTTTAAAGTCGCTCCAAATCAGCGGCTGCCACTCCGTTTCAGCGTACGACCCCTCTTCCCCCAGTATTGCCGCAGACTCCTGCACGATGAAGTTGTACCTGCTGATAACTGCTAGCTGCTCTGTTCTTGGCCACCAGAATTAATTCAGACTCCCACTCGCAGGTCAGCAGCCACAGGCCAAAAATAACTCGTTGCACAGGATGCCTCTATAGGCTACAGTTTTAAAGTTAACTCTGACATGATGCATGGAGTGCGTATCACCACCGCAAGTTCTCCATGCGCTTTCTGAAGGCTAAAACAACAACAACGAGAGGCGTGAGCCATTCTGCTCAGTTGCATTCTGCAATTTCTAGCATGAAATTGTTGCCTTGTCTTGCCAAGAAGGTGGATATATCACTACACTCGATGCCAGACTAATTTTTCCAGGTAGCCAGGGCACCTGGGCTCTACATGGTACAACCACCACTGTCCTCTGGAGCTGGCATGGGAGCATCTCCCACCCCAGTGACTGTAGTGTGGTGGGCTACGGTGGTTTGAAGACCACAGCCACGTCAAACTGCTCCCTGTACGAGGAAGGAAATGTGACCTGCGAGACACGGTCTGAATGAAACCATGGTCTCTCATGGAAATTACGTATATGCCCTGTCCTGGGGGCCGCTCTTTTCTGTTTTAGGAAAGCAAGCACCACCCCCACCTTTCCTTGCTCAGTCTTGCTGCTCTCACCTCAAAAGGTGCGACTTGAAAGACCCCACACTGCTGTTAGCGGCAGGAAACCATCGCTACGAAAAAATGCAGAAGGGCCCCGTGGAAAACCACAGACAAGGCCCTCTCTGCTGCCTTAACAACACGCACCTCCTGACACAGGTCTTCACAAGTGGAACCCATCCAAGGAGGTTTTCCTTTTCTGCCGCTCCTCTGCGAGCGACCCCCACGTGGCACGAGCCCTGAGAAGCCAGCTGGGACACTAACTCTAGGGAACGGAGGTGGAAACAAGCGGAAATACCAGCCAAAGGCACCGATGTGCCATACGAGATGGTAAATCAGTTATGGCCACTCCAAGCTCAACGGCGCTTTGCCGGTGTACAGCAATTCAGTCGAACCCAGCCTGTGGGGTCTCAGCACGGTGCGGTAAGGATATTCAGCCCATCTGTATCGCACGGTTTCTCTTTAGCTAAAGCGGCATACGTCATACGTACAAATTTGGAAGTAAAACTATTGAGACATTACAAGGAAATACCTTCTACAGGCTTGTAGGGTCCAAAGATTAGTTAGTGAAAAAAGAGAAAAGATCTATGGTGTCTTCGCTATTTGTGAAGTCCCAGGCTCCATCGCTGACCATTTTTCCGTGCCATCGCTGGCCCAGGAAATGTCACGTGTGCGCAACTCAACGGAGAGGCATGGAACACATCCCCATGGGAAACTACCGTCTTACAAGGAGACAAGTCCTTCCTCTGATTTTAGTCATAAAAGATCAGGTCCAGCAAGAATGCCCTGCGATAGCTTCGTTTTTGGTATATTTTTAAATGTTTTTAAGAAAATGAAAAGCTTTCCTGAAGCCCAGAAAGATTCATTTCCCCAAACCACAGCGCTCGTCTATGCGGTAGGAACTTGCAGCAGACAGCTACCTGGGAAATAAAATCAAAACACACAAAACAGGAACGAAAAATAAAACCCTTTTACTGGCTATTTACTTAATTCTGACCCAGGCACTGCTCTTAGTAATTTCTCCAGGGCATGCTTTTTTCTAGAGAAGGCAATTCATTCCAGCTCATCAAATATTTTCACAAAGTGTATTATATATCTTAGAATGTCTGGAGAGTAAAACACACTTTACTGCCCGTCTGTAAAATGAACTGGGAGGAGAGAGAATGAAATTTTTAGTAACCTGGGCCAGGCCAGGTTTTACAGATCCTGCCTGCAAAAGACCTTTCAAAGCCAGTTCAAAGCAGCTGCAGCATTACACTTTCTGAATAAAAAAGCCTCATTTTTCAGAGGTGCTGATCATTCACTGCTCAGTCGCACACGCTTGCCGGTCAGGTTCAACAGCTCCAGAATGGAATGTGGAATAGCGAAAGTCAATGTTTGTGTTAACATCCAGGGAAAACTTGGCATTAAATGGGTCTGCTCTCAATTCTTCAGTGGCTTGTATGGAATAACATCCAATAACTAAATCTGGTTGTGCTGGCGGGTGAAGATCACAAACGTTTGGTACAAGTCTTACCTTAGTGACTGCGATGACCTGTCTAATGACTATGATTTCTTTATATCAGTACAATCACACCAGCAAGTTTCCCAGTGTAGAAAAACCTTTACACCCTTGAAAAATTGGAAGTTGACATATTACTCTGTGCGAAACGTTCTCACTCTACTTCATGTCACATCTTAATACTTGTTTTTTCCCCTCATCTCTGGCAGGGGATTTTCCAGGAGCTGGCAGTGAAACCGTAACTCTAAAGGAAGGAGAGGACCTAATTCTCCACTGCACCTTCAGCGGTGACAACCATTCTGCCCGGCAGTGGTTAAACCCTCACGGGTTTTCCATTTTTCTAAACACCCATCGGGGTAAGTGTGAAAACTGACAGCAGCACTTTCCACGTGGGGCTGGAGGGTCACTCAGAAGTGGGCTTTCCTGGCTCCCACCCATGGCCAGTCTGACTCACCTGCAGCCCAACCAATTGAGATGGTTTTACATTCAGCCCCTTTCTGGCAGGAAGCTGATGAAATGGAAACCTCCACAAGAGTGGTCTGGCACTAGAGCTTTTAGCAATGAGCTGTAGTTATCACCAGCACCAAGGTATTAACACAAAAACCCACTCTTGCCTTACAAAAGAGACAGGAGTGGACGTGCCTGAAAGCCCTGGGTACTCTTCTGCTCAGAGGGCATTTGATGTAGTGCATCGAGAAAATATTTAGAAAACAAGAAGTGATCTCTAATACATGCCGACAAAGCCAAAGTTACAATTACTGTGTTCCCTTCCACTCCCTACACCTCATGTCTCTCTGTCCTTAACTGTCCTCTTGTTGGTCCAAATTCAACAGCTCTGCAAGAGAAGGACTGCCTTAGTCTTCCTCATTTGTGGAGTACCTAGTCAGCATCCCTGGTTGTTAAAGCCTTTAGGCTTTAATGATAATAATGACTGGGATTTATCCAAATGACGCTGGGTACCCAACTCCCATTGAAACCGCCCAGGAACTGAGGGTTCTCTTTGGTTGCTCTGGGGATCCCAGCCACGGGGTCTTGCCACCTGCATTTCTAAATAGAAAATGTCATGAGTAACCGTTGCTCCTATTTACTCAGTTACAAGAGCAAGTGGGACAAGTGTTCATTAGCAATTTTAAATGACTCACACATGTATGTACTAGGAACTCCTTCCTGTGGAATCCAGGATCCCAAGTCCAGTACTCTTAGTATAATGCCTATGAACCATTAGATTCAAATGGGATCCAAAAAAACTCCCTGCTGAGCCACTGGCAGCTAATCACTATGGGAAACAGGGCTATGGCAACCAGCCCCTTGCTGCTTTGACATCCAGGCTTCCAAAAACCACAGCAGGCTATGGCAGGGGTTCCTCTCCCCTGTTGCAGTCTATTAGTCCGATCATGCACCCAGGAGCTGCAAGACCTATGAGGAAATCACCTCTCCTTCAATGATCTCTATTTCTGACACATACGTATGTTCTCAGTATTTTATACTGTAGAGGTAGGCAAGAGTAGCGCAAATCCCTTCATTCATGCAAGTTCGCTATGGCCCTGGCTACAGCCACAGACGCTCTCTTTCTATGCAGAGAATTTTGGAGAAAGACACTTTATTCTCCCCATGTCCAGTTTTAAACATCTCCATCTTTTAAAGGCTCAAGCCCTTTTGATGCTTAAAGTTTTGCTGAGTTGACACAGCAATTTAATAAGGTTAGAGAAAGAACATATCCATTGGCATCTATAGGAGCAGGCTCTAACCCAAGCGAACAAAACAGTATCTGTCTTAAATCACCTGAGGATTCAACCCATAGTTTCAACATCCCATGATTATCCTTCAGTAAGACGCATGCTATAACACCCACAGGGACTAGAGTTTGCAGAGCATTTGGATCCTTGATAAGTCAGACACGCTGAATTTTTTTCCTTTTACAACACAGAAGAAAACAGTCCTCATTTAAAGAGAAACCAAGATTTACATTGCGCACAGACATTTTCATTTTTTTATTCTGAATCACCACTGTGAATCTCTGTCACGTTGTTTCTCCAGCAAACCACTTCGTGAATCAGTTCCCTCCAGTCTGACTGTAGCTAAAATTATGACAAGCTAGCTACAAGTCTTACATCATGGTGATTTCAAAATCCTTTAATATTTAATCACTTCCATAAATTATAGTACTGCTGTGATTTTCTCCAAACTCTCTACTTTTACAAGACCTCAGCTAAAAAAAAAAATAATAAAAAGATAGTTTTTGAGGTCTTTTTCTCCCCAATGACTGGTACCCATCCCCAGTTTCAGTTCAATTCGGGGGCAGAAAGTTACACTTTCTGTGCTGCAGTTGTGGGAAAAGTCCATGTGACTCGCTGGCCTGATGCCAAGGACTCCCATGGGTCACGCAGGGGGAAGAATGAAGCAGAGACTAGAAAGTCGAGAGAAAGGGGACTGTACAGCAGCGTACAGATATCCTGGAAGACAGTCTCATTAAAATCAAGGTAATTAGACAGAGATAGTGGAAGCAAAACAGCCAATTAATAAGCAGTGAATAGAGAGGCGCGTGCTGACCATAGTGTTCATTTATATTTCACAAAATACACCCAAAGAAGGGAGGAGATTTTTTCTAGGCCAAATAAAGGCTTGGGGAACGGGGAAGGGAAAGGTCCTCAGTTCATGCATCTATGCTCTATATTCAAAGGTCACGTTACTTTCCTGACCACATACCATATCCTCACCCCGCAGCGTTTTCTTATATCTATCCATGTAAAACACTCAACGCAAATTGTTAGAATGCCTGGGAACACAGGAGTAAGACCCCCTGAAAATACAAGCAAGAAAAAACATGTCATTTTCCCCACTGGCAGCATACACACCCCCTCCCTCAGTTTACTGCTGCCTCTCTACTAGCGCAGCACCGGCGAGGGATGTTTTGTGCTAGAACATCAAGCGTTGATGAATTTAAAAAAATGCAATAAGGAAAACTATCCTCATTCATAACTGCTTTGATTATCCGTCTTCCTCTTACGTACCAACACGCATCGCACGCTGGGTTTTGTTTTCCTTACAGCTTTACGGGATCGGAGGTACAAACTTATCCATTATTCAAAGGATGAATTATCCATCCGACTGTATAACGTAACAGTGCACGATGGAGGCCTATATAAATGCTTCTACTACAGCACCCCACTGAAAAGCGAGAACACGACTGTTGAGGTATTAGGTAAGTTCCTTCACCTGCTTTGCTCCAGAGGAGCAGAGCAACAAAGCCAGCTCCTCAACTCCAGACCTTGATTGTGCTTAACACAACATAATCCTGGTCTTAGCTCAGTCCCCTCAAATAACGCTATGTCTGCAGCCATTCATAAAACCGAGTAGAAAGACGTACTATAACTGATTCTAAGTCTTCTTGCTGCAGCTGCTCCTTCTAACCCAGTACTGGAAGTATCCCAAGACACAGGGAGAAGCATTACACTGTCTTGCTATACCCAAGGATGTAAACCACAGCCCCAGATCACCTGGCTGTTGGACAACGGGATAGAGCTCCCTGGTAAGTGTTAAAGGACCAGGGATTGATTACTAACAACTTCTTATCAGTCTTGGGGATGTTTAAAAATACTGGACAGTGAAACACCTTCTGCAACACATGAGCCGGGACTACCATTCATGTTCCACTCATTTAGTACAAGTTGGCCCCCATGGTGTGGGTTTGGAGAAAAGCCAGCACTAAATTCACAGAATCACTAAGGTTGGAAAGGACCTTCAAGATCATCAAGTCCAACCATTAATCCAGCGCCACCGTGTCCCCTAAACCATGTCCTGAAGCACCACATCCACTCGTTTTTTTGAACACTTCCAGAGATGGCGACTCCACCACCTCCCTGGGCAGCCTGTGCCAATGCTTGACCATCCTCTCGATGAAGAAATTTTTCCTAATATCCAATCTAAACCTCCCCTGGCGCAACTTGAGGCCATTTCCTCTCGTCCTATCGCTGGTTACTGGGGAGAAGAGACCAACACCCTCGTCGCCACAACCCCCTTTCAGGTAGTCGTAGAGAGCGATGAGGTCTCCCCTCAGCCTCCTCTTCTCCAGACTAAATTCCAGTGTTTGTGCGAGGGAGAGGGCTCATCCGCTTTGCTCACATTCAGTGCAGACCACCACCCCTTGGCACCAAAACCCGCTGAGAGCCTGGAGTGAAACTCCACTAAAACCAAAACCCTCTAGGCACAATTTTCAAAGCCCCAGTATAACGTCAGTTAACAAATCCATTATAATTATTTCCCTGTTGTAACTGGTAGACAGCTTTTCCTCAGCTCCGCAGCAGCAGCCTTTCTCCCTCCTCTGTCCGTTCGGAGCCAGGCAGCTCACCAGCAGACGCAAGAAGAGAGCTCAGGAACCCCAGAGCGAGAGGTCTGCACGCGTCTGGGTGGACACACGTGAGGCACAGAGCCACCACATAGCTCAATTTCACTTGTGTACTATATAAATAGCTGCTTTGAAGGCCACGGTCTAATAACAACTACCTTATTAGCTGTAACTGTAGCACAGTGGAGAGGAAACGCGCGTCTGTATCAAAGTGTGAGGAAAATACCCATAGATGCAAATGTATTTTCTTTCACGTATTAACAGCCTCTTGTTTGTATTTTGTATCATCAAGCAACATATTCAAAGCTTAGCCTGCAATCTTCCACCCAAGGTGGCTTTTTTTAACTAAGAACTCTAGAAAACAACAGCGTGCCAGCCTGAATACATCCAGCACTATAGGAAAAAAGAAAGCAATCCAACCTGCCAGATACACGGGCGTTAATGCAACCGCATAAAGCCCCGTGAAGCGCTGCGCCCAGGGGAAGCGGCACGGCCGGTGAGCGAGCCGCACGAAAAGCTGCCTGCGACTGCAGGGGAAGGTGCTCTGTCCTGGAAAGGCGGGTTCTAAAATCCTGCGTGCCTTTGGGAAGAGCTGGGCTGTGTGTGGCTCTGAGGGCTTGGGGGAACACCAGCTGTAAAGTTGTGAAGAGTTCAGGGAAGCAGTGTGTCACCTTTAAGTTTTTATATACATTTTTCCTAATTTATCCTACATTTTTAAAATTTTCCTACATTTGTCCTTCTAAAAACAGGGGTTTCCTTAAACGTGAAACCACCTCAGTTCTGGCCCGATAAAGTATATTACTTGTAACCTCACAACACACAACTCAGATGCTAAACACCTCCCCCAACACATAAAGCCAACCACACGTTTCTCCGCTTATTTTAACAAAAACCTATACTTACCTCCGTCTCCTCCTCGGCGCGACATGCCGCACTACCAGCAGGCAGCCGTTGGAGGAAGCCATCCCCGGGAGAGCTACCTGACCTCCCACCCCACTCCCACCACGCAATCAAGCACCCGACCAGCCCGTGCCGGGGCTGCTCGGTTGGCTTCACCTGTGGCTGGTTTTCCGAGGAAGGCGCATTCACATGAAGAGGGGCTGATTTCTCCCCAGATCTGCTTGTGGCAGACACGAATTAAAGTGTTTGAAAGGAGGAAATAACTGTCCTAATTCGCTGTTTCTCAAACTTTCTGCATGTGCCTTTCCTTTTTTGAAGGTGACTGTCTTTGAGTAACACTCTTTTCTCCCCCTTCCATTCTCGGCTTTAATCAGTTACTGCAAATATTTCATTATACATATATAATTTTATATGTATATAATAGACTGGTCAGAAAATAGCTAATACATCTTAATTACCGGCAGCACCTCAGTTCCACCAGGGGTGAACCAGCTATAATTACTCAGCTGTTGCTGACAAATATTATTTCCTTCGTAGCAAAAACACTTTGAAATCCTTTTGAGCTCTTACATGACCCTGCTGGGGATGGAAAAGAGGGTTGAGAAATACTGGTTTATGTGGTACGGCAAGTTATCTGCAAAGGCTAATTTGGAAACAAGGAATTTCTTTCATTTAAGAAATAAGGGTGTTATCAAGGGTAACAGATCAAGAGAAAGCATCAGTTTGTTTCCAGAGAACCTCTACATTATAAGCAGACAGTAGAAATTATTGTGTGCCACCATTGGCATTTAAGGTAAACATCTGAAAAACATCAGCCCTTTTCACCAGGGCTGATCCAACAGGTCTCTTTGTGTCACATGAAATACATCTTTAGTTTTCCATACTGTATCGATGAGTAGAAGTCAGTATTACCTAGAGGACTCGGAACTACATCTGAAGAGTGACATGGCTTGCTCTAATTCATTATGGCAAGGCAATTAAGCTTTGTGTTTAGCTTTTCCCAGCTGCAAAAAGGGAAGAGTCAAACCTGCATTATAGGGATGATGGAGGACTTGCACAGGATGTCAGTGTTATATAAATGTTTATTTATTACAAATGTAAATATTGCATATCAATATTTATTGTGCATATTTATCAGTGTGCACAAATATTGCACAACTTTCATGTCTGGGGTAACAAATTCACAGCTATTAAGACACAAATTCAATGCCCTTGGATATCACATAGCAGAATCAGAACTTTTCTAGATCTCAGTCGTGCTGCAAACCAGCAGGTCCTTGCCCTGAGGCTCCCCACTGCGGGCCATGCACGGCTGTGGCACACAGCAAAGCAATTTATTCCGTTCAGTAAGGACCAAAAGTGCCGGTGGGTGTTTGGACATTTCACTGCCGTCCTCCGGGTACTGCGGGGGAATTTCCACACGTGAGTCACGAAACAGAGCGGAGGTTTTGGGTTCAGCACAGGACGTGCAGCGAGGTCTGCACTTAACCAACTGCCGAGGAAGGAAACATGACCTTGGTGCCTTTTGGGCTCCCGTGTAATCCATTTACACAATGAACCACTTGTGCGCAGTCATCAGGTGCTGCTTTCGCACAGCAAAGTAATGCAGATTGCGCCCGGCAGGTTTTTCGTTAAATTGCTCTTGACTAGAAAGCACTTAAATGTTTTCTTCCTATGGGTGTATAGGTGACACTACGCACAAGTTAGAAGGTGATGGGAAGAAATGGGCCACAACCAGCACGCTGACAGTCCTCGCCTACGGGCCCAATTCAACAGCCAGCTGTGTTGTTCGCCACCAAGCACTAAGAGAAGAGAAGCTGATGGCATCGTTCCAGTTTGAGCACCTCCCTGCGATGGGTACCGCAGGCTCCTTCAGCAGAGCCTCTCCCATTTTACCCCTCTGAAGTGGTGAAAGTTACACAGATACATACGCAAAGTTGAAGCCCATAGTCTACTGCCCCATGTGTGGAACCTATTTTTAAATGAGAGGGCTTTTTGGGGCAAAAGAACAACTCCAAACTAAGATTTGGGGGCTTTTTCCTGCTGCTTAACTACTTTAAAATTCATTAAACATTAAGCCACAGCAGCCTTAGCAGGTCAGTTCCCAATGCTGCTGCAAGAATTCAGGTGATGTTTGTTCTAAAACTTTAAGGATAACTCAAAGTTTATGTTCTCGAAATGCTGTGAGCTTCCCATGTTTTCTACGTATTAGACACATCCACCTGGAAAGCTAGCGGGGTGTAAATATTGTAAATTAACACAGAAGCTGCTCATCTAATAATTCTCAGAGTAGTCTGCCTTCCATCTATTTACTCATTTTTAGGATGGATCTAATTATGTGTACTTCATACTTCCTTAGATCGCTTGATTCAACAAATGCTCGTAAAGTGCTCTGAAAGTTGTCCTGTTGGCTTTTTTCAGGGACAAATACAAATCCTGCATCAGCTGCACTAAAGGTGGATACACCGGTATCTGAGAACGAGCAATCTACAGGTAGGCATTAACGGCTTGGCCTCTTTTTAATTAATGCACAGGTCAGATAAACACGGACTCAATCACCAGTTGCCATCAGCACTGAGGGACATTTTGCACAGCCTTCAGAACAGCTTTGTTTTTTTCCCCAGCAACCGCAGCAGTGTCAGATCTGAACAGCAGCACGGCCCCTGCTCCAAGCTACCCACAGCATACCGGTAAGGGTTTCACTTTCATTTTTCCCTCATTTCATAGCATTAAATATATGCAGAGGACAGGGAAGCTGACGGTGGGGCGGTAGGACTGTGAGCCTAGCCACTGATCAGATAGAGCACCCATGGAGCATGGAGCATATGGGGCAAGTTTCGTTTTTCAGTGATCGGGTCAATGGCAAACTGTGTCTTCTGATTTTTGTCTTGCGGTTGCGGGGGGTTTCCTTTAGGATCCAACCAACCAGCCGTCCCTTCTGCAGCACTGGAGGATCCAGTAGTTACCAACTCAGCGTCAACACCAACCCAGCAACACCTCCAACCAGATTTCACAGCTACTTGTAAGTTTGGTCTTAAGTTGCATGAATTTACCAAACCAGGACAGAAATGCTACCAAGAACAGCATCACATTCCACGTTACAAACAAGCGCGTAACATCAAACACGGCATTTCTTGCTCGTGTGGGGAGCCCTCGGTTTTGCAGCCATGAAAGCACACAAAGACTCTCTCGTTAG